GAATCTCCTGTGACACCGGTCTTAACCTCATTGCAAAGATATTCGATATACTTGTTAGGTTTAGATGTAATAAAATAGGGTTGCCTGCAAATATAAAGCAAGCATTTCTGAATGTTGAAATAGATAAGGAACACAGGGATTATCTTCGATTTTTATGGTATGATTCAAATTCAGAGCAAAGCCAGAAAGTAGTTTATAGATTCCTGAAAGTTGTATTTGGGATTACTAGCAGCCCGTTTTTGTTAAATGGTACTATTAGACATCATCTTAATAAGTATGTAGAAAGAGAGAAAGCAATTGTACATGTAGATCAGTTGAGAGATGACTTTCATGTAGATGATTTGGTTAGTGGTTGTCAGGTAGTGAGTGAAGGTAAAGCAATTTATGATAAGAGTAAGTCTATTATGCAAGATGCCGGTTTCGATCTAAGGAAATGGGTTACAAATGATCCGGAATTGATGAATTACATTTCCTATAAGGAGGTAGATAAGGAAAGTGTGCCAGTACAGGCAGATGATATGACATACTTTGAGGTTACGTCTACTAACATAGATACTAACACTAAAACAGTTTTGGGCTTGTCATGGGACACAACTTCTGATGAGTTTGTTTTTCGATTTGACAACTTGTTGAGTAAATGTTGTAGCATATTGACACTAACTAAAAGAAATATTTTAAGTGTGTCGGCCTCTATTTTTGATCCTCTAGGCATTTAGGTGCGGTCGGTTGTTCGTATTAATTTTCATGCCGGTGTTCGTGTTGAGCTGCACGGTTTTAGTGACAGCTCTAAGGAAGTTTATTCTGCGGTTGTTTATCTTCGGCTCATTTATGCTGGTGCTGTTAAAGTCAGTTTCTTAGCTTCTAAAACCAGGGTCGCTCGTTTAAAAGCCTTAACTATACCAAAATTAGAACTCTTAGGTTGTTTGTTGCTTAGTAAGTTGGTTAGCCAAATAGTCACAAGTATAGGAAGTCGAGTTGGTATTAATGCTATTATTTGTTGGTCTGATTAGGTTGCTCTAGCCTGGATTAGGGGTGAGGAAAAATCTTGGAAACATTGGGTTGAGAATAGAGTGGTTGAAATACGGAAGGTGATTGATAGGGCTGGTTGGAGACATGTAAGGAGTGGGCTAAATGCTGCGGATGTGCTGCTAGGATTTCTTCCAATATTTGTGAGTTTTTTCCTGGTTGTTGGTTTGAGGGACCATCGTTCCTTTTGTCGCTAAAGGATTATGCTGAGTAGAAGTTGAGAATACTGGTGGGGGTGAGATTTCCCAGGTGGGAATGGCTGAAGTGGCAAACTTCAGTAATCAGACGCACAAGGGCCAAGATAACCAAAAATGTTCATTAAGTTCTGTCATTAACAGTGATCGCTTCAGCTCGCTGAAAAAGCTTATTCTGGTAACGGGTTACGTATTACGATTCGTGAACAATTTACGAAAGAGAGTGAAAAAAGAAACAAATTTGATCACGGAGGATATGATAACGGTCACTGAATATAACGAAACTCTAATTATGTGGATTAAAGATGAACAGTTCCAGTTAAAGCAACAAGATAATTACTCAAAGCTCGAAGCATCATTACATTTATTTGAAGACAAGGACAGCGTTCGTCGATTACGATGTCGATTCGCCAATGCATCATTACAATATGAAGAACAGTACCCGATTATTTTACGGAATAGACAAAGCTATTTTACTCGGTTGGTGATTTTAAACGCGCATGAAGAGACAATGCACCATGGCGTCGAGACAACGTAGGCACGAACTAGATCCAAGTACTGGATTGTCGAAGGGAGACGATCGGTCAAGCAAATGTTGAGAAAGTGCGTAGTGTGCACACGTGTGCAAGGACTACCTATGAGAGCTCCTCCAAGTCCAGACTTGCCTGACTTTAGAGTTGATCACTCTGGACCTGCCTTTCAAGCAACGGGACTCGATTTTACAGGTCCACTATTTGTCAAAGGAGATTCGAAACACGAGAAAACGTACATTCTCTTATTAATTGGCACAACAAGTCGAGCCATACACTTGGGATTTCGTACCGGATATGTCGATCGGTGGATTTTTACGTGGATTTAAGCGATTTATGGCGCGAAGAGGTAGTCCGGATGTCATCATTCACGATAACTTTAAAACATTCAAAGCTGCTGCAGTCATGAAGTTCATGTTATTGCAAGGGATCAAGCAGAACTTTATTTTGCCCTTATCACCCTGGTGGGGTGGGTTCTACAAAGGACTAGTTAGGACAGTGAAAACGTGCCTGAAGAAAACTTTAGGAAAAGCATTTGTAACTTTCGAGGAGTTACAGACTGTGCTCTGCGAGATCGAAATAGCTATTAACAACCGCCCTGTAGCATACGTCAGTGACGACGACTTGGACGACGCATTAACGCCGCATCATCCAATACACGGTCGTAACGCATTTAAACAACCGAAAGCAACTGATTTCGTTCCGAGTATGGACCTGGAGAAATGTAAACGTAGATTGCTTCACGTGCGAAAGGTATTGAGTAGCCTGATCACAGACCTACATTTCGCCCGCCCTAAAATTCGCAGGTCGACGAAGGGCGAAACGTAGGTCTGATGAAAATGTTGTCAAAAGTGCATGTAAGTCGACCGCCTGACGGTCGACAAAGCTGATTGGCTAATTCACAGGGAAATGGGTTGTGATTGGTTGATCGCTGACAAGAAAAGATTTGAAAAGATCAGAATATTTTCAACGGTAAATAAATACGCATACAGTGTAATATTCTAAATATTTTGTGATGTCGAACGACAACTTAGTCTATGATCAGTATCTACCGTCTAAAATTAAAACTAGAGCCAGTAGAGGGAAGTAGAGCAGTACGTGTCAAATATTTCAGCGTTGTATCTTTCCGTTGTAATAAACATTACAATATATAATTTTTACACGATCCGAAGTTTTGTGATTATAAATCATAATATAACTCGGATACAAATATGTGCGCATTCATGATTTACATTTTGATAACATAGCACATACAAAATATATGTTTTATTTAGATTTAATCATTGTATGGCGATTTCAAAATGTATAAATTGTAAGAGTTGGGATGCAATCAATGGCCACATTGGCCATTGCCAAATTTGCGTAGGCAGATTTTATCGCATTTATAGAATTTGTTGAAAATGTTGTATTACAAAGGTTTAAGTATATAAAAGCAACAGACTCCATGGGGTTACCAATATTTTAAATATTTATTCGAATATCTGTACTTATCGACTCTTACTAGTTTACGAACTTGCAATACAAATTACTAAAGTGAAATCGACAACTTTCATTGTATTTTTAGGTATTACATGTATGTGTCAATCTTCGTTATTAATTATTGCAAAATGCAAAGTGGGCGGAAGGCGCTTTTGACAACATTTTCATCAGACCTATGTTTCGCCCTTTCCGTCGACGAATTTTAGGGCGGGTGAAACGTAGGTCTGTTATCAGGCTAGGTATTGAGAGACTGTTGGGCAAGATTCCGTTGTAGCTATCTGAATGAATTGAGGCAAATGAATATATACTGTATATCGGAAGACAAAAGGTGAAAATACACGGCGTATTAGCGTGGGGGATGTCGTTTTGATCAAGGATGACGAACTTTCGGTGCGCACTCAGTGGAGAATGGGAAAAGTGTTGGAGTTAGTGAAAGGTCGCGACGGTCAGATAAGGGGAGCCAAGCTCAAGGCACTCTCCAAGACGGGAAAACAAACGGCAGTGTTTCGTCCGCTTCAAAGATTGATTCCTTTTGAAATCAACGAGAATCACGACTGCACGAGTAAACAGCAACCAAAGGAATCTAAGGATAGTGTTGATAAAGACGAAAATGTGAATGAAGCTGCTGTGACAGTGAACGAGGAAACCAGTGCGAAAAGGCCAACGGAAAGGCAGCAGTAGAAGGACAAAACTTGCGACGCCTTCGAGAACAATATAATTAATTAAGCACTTTCAAACATTCACCAGATTTACTTTTTGGTGGGGGAGAGTGTAGAAACTTCATTTAGCATATTTATTAGTTACGTTTTTGCCATTGGTCAGTTTGATCACATGATCACATTACGTGGTCAGACAACATGGACAATTTATTGATTATGATTAGGGGTTTTGATCAGCACGGTGTTTATGTAAATTCTGCCATTAAATAATATATAAAAAGTTGGACTAGTCTTGCTTTTTAAAAGGAGCAAATTGATTTTGACAAGTAATTGCAAATGAAATGAAAAGAGCAAGCCAAATAATGAAGAAAGAAACTGTAAAAATCTGTTTTAAGACTTCAATAATTCGCTTCCGTGTTGTTCGCTGTGAGCCTTTTATGAGTTCTAAATATTCATCTCTAGACGTATTTTCAAACAAATTACTGAATGGTTGGTTAGCTTGTACGATTTTCACTGTATGCACTTGTTGTGAAAGATTGCTAAACTCAATCGTTCGCTTCGCTCATGATCACTCGTTCGTTTGCAATATTTCACAACTCGTGCATAAAAATCGTACACGCTCACCAATCATGGAGTAATCTCTATATACTGCATATTGTATAATTAACAGTTATTCTACAAACTCGAGTCGAATATGAGCTGATAGGCGATGAGGCGCCTAGCGCCGAATCGGCTATCGCTCATATTCGACGAGCGTGAGTGAAATAACTGTTTTATTATATAAACAAGGTCTGAATTCACAGACTTTGCTTTTCGGATATTTTCAATATTTTTCTATATTGGTTATGTTTTTATCTTCGCTCTTTTGGCCGATGATTATTTTTCAAAAATATATATTTTTAACCATTTAAAATTTTAAAAATTAATTTGCTAACTTGTACAATTTGTGGGAGTTTTTTCATTGTGTTTTTAATCCTGTAAAAGCTATAAAAAGCGAACAACTTGCCGTTTTCTGGTTCGCAAAACGTCAAAAATTCAGTTTGAGCCGCCATTTTGTTTTTCTCTGCTAGCAAGATATGAGCTAATATTCTGCTAGTAGAGAACCAATCGGATTACAGAATACCTCATATAAAGACCTTGTGTATATAATAATTAACGTTATACCTGGTAGATTTCTCTTCTCTCCAAAACTTCTATTTTTCATCATTGTATGAATTTTATCTGTTCGTTCATCAATAAAAGACAACTTCTCCTGCACATTCTCTGTTCGCTGATCAATAGAGGACAACTTCTGCTCCATATTCTCATGAAATACGCTGTTCGCTCGTAACTCATTCAAAAGACATTCATGTAATTCGTGAACTTTCTCTGTAGGGAAATCATCCTCGCTCATTTGACCAATAGTATCAACAAAAGCGATATCAACATTAACTGCTGTTAAAGCGTTGGTTACCAATTGTACATAGTTATCAAAATCAGTTTTGACTATTACTGGTTTTGGTGAATGGCAAAGTGCGTTTCTCAATAATCGCAGTTGATCAACTGCCAAGGCGTAGGTCTCATCTTGATTTCTTGTTAAGCTCTGGACTGATGAATGAAAAGAACCAGGAGGTGGTTTAACTTTCTTCAAATATAAATCATTCAAAGTTGATCCCTTGCTTCCTGGAACACCAAATGTTTTGGCATAGATTGTTGCTTTAAACAAAGCTGTGCAGTCCCACTCTTCAATTGATTTCGTAGTTGGTATATCTGTTTTACCACCTTCAGATTTAAGAAGCATGTTCCGTACTGTGATACTGTCATCCCATGGAATGAATCCTGGTCTTACAGCAACCTTGCTGTCCCACATGGCGATAAAAATTTGACGCAACACCTTGGGAAACTCATCAAGAACAAGTGTAGAAAACTTAAAGAAATTCAATTGTTCCTTCGAAAATGGTTTCACTGCCATCGTGAAGCAAAATCTAGGCCATTTAATATCTTTCTGTGCGAAGTATCTACAAAAGCGATAAAAATACAAAAAAATTGATTATTGCGATCATACTGGACATAAATATATTGAATTTTTTACACTCATTTCACATTGAAATATAATCGTCGCAGATTTCCATGAAAGCTATGGCTTTATATGAGGTATATATGTTTTTCCCCTCATTGTTTTTCCATATCGCAATATTGTATCCTTTATGTGCGATACAAAATGTTCATAAAATAATACATCGTGATACAGTATTCTTTGCTTTCAAACCATTAAAATCAGCAAATTGTTCCAAAATATACTTTATAGATTACAACATATTTAACAGACATAGTTACAGTATTTAAATTGTATAATCTTATAGAATTTTATAGCTAATTTGCGTTTTTTGAAACAATCGAGTTTTCTTCAATTCTTAATTATAACGATTTAACAATTATTCACCGAAGTAGAGGTGAATAGTAGTACAAAAATATTCACCGAAACGGGAGGCGTTGAGGTCAATATCCTGTAGCTCTATTACCATATACTCGAGAGGTAGATAGCTCTTTTCGCGCAATTTGATTGGTTGCTCAGTCAATATCCTTGCACTATTCACCTCCGGACAAAAACAAAATGGCTTCCGATTTTGTTCCGAATACAGACGAGCAAATATTTTTAATAAAAGGAGTTACGGTTCCGCCAAACATAAAGAAAGCTACAAAGATTTGTTTAACAGTGACAGTGTGCATAGGTATTCTTTAAAACTATTTCTAGTGAATAAAATTACTAGTAAATACTGTTTTCTTTACAACTAATACGGGAGCTGTAACACAAATTGTTTTAAATTTTCGTTGTATTATGTACAATTGAACTCTCGATGAAATAAATTATTATATTAAATAATTATAAATAGTTTTAAAATCAAATATCTGGGAAAAATACGGAAAGACATTTTGTTTTGGTGCGGAGATGAATAGCGCAATGATATCCGGAGTTTAGCAAATAATAAAATTATATAATAGTTTTGTTTGTGGAAACACCACGTAAATTTATTGCTGCAAAGCTTTCGATCCGTAAGCCCGGATCTTCATCACTGTTAATAATATGTGACTTGTTCCCTTTTTTACGCGCCCTTTTTTATATACAAAAGTGTCGTGATCTGTTGACTCGCGTCATCTGAAATTTAATTAAACGGCACATTGACCACGTCATTTCAAACGTAGAGAAGTGATTCTAATTAACGCGCGCGCATCCAAGACAAGAGAAATTAATTTCGCACATTAAAGAGAGCACGCCACGTACTATCTAGGGGCTTTCCCTCCTGATCTATAGTATTGTGCTTCTCAATTTCAATTGACTCTCTCATTTTGCGAGAGAACTTATGACTATCAATCGCCAAAATGGTTGCTTCGTCCCATTTTATACGATGGTCGTAAGTTCAAGTGTGTTTAGCCACAGGAGATTTATCTTGCTCGGCTTTCTCGCAATTCGTCTTATGTTCCTTAAGGAATGCGGTACACACCAGGTTTCTGAGATCCATTCACGTTGTCCTTATGTGTGCAAAGACCTCGAAATAATTTGTTTTCGCTGGAATGGTATGCCTTTATTGAACAAGTCACATATTATTAGCACTGATGAAAATCCGGGGGAGGGCATTTTGTCCCGGGCCTCCAGCTCAAAAAGAACCCGCATTTCGTGGAAATCCAACAGATGCTTCTACTGTAGTGGCATTTTTGACTGCTGTTTTTATGAAATCTGAACCTTCTGTCATACTTGGAAAATTGCATGGAAATGAACTTACTACAATACTACAGTCATTGGGCTTGCCTGGTTTGAATAGGAAGGGAAAGAATCGACAAATTGAGCTATTGGTCAACCATCATGTCAGTGGTAAAGATTGGAATATTGTTTTCCCTGACAAGGTTAGTCATTAATCATTGTTATCACTCAAAATCAAAATCATTGTTATCACTCAAAATCAAAATCATTGTTATCACTCCAAATCAAATGGCCCACCACCAAATAGGCATTTTTTTAGATGACTCCCCTGCCATCTCAAAAAGAAACAAGTTTTTTTAATGAAGATAGGCAATGGTTGGCTGCCTTCCTAAATAGTATACCTTTAATCGTATCTATTTTGAACTTGTGTTTTTTTTAATAAATTGGTTTTCCACAAAACAATTATTATTATTGATAATAATGTTTTAATAAGTAATACAAGCATTATCATTCTAATTTTCAGCTGAAAAGAAAGAAATAAGTGGCCATGGTTCATTTGATGGAACTGAGGAATACCAATTTGTATGTACTGTTACTACTGTATAATTTATTATTATACATAGTTAGGACATGGTTGTTAATTTTATTTGTCCATTCTTTCCCTTATTCAAAATTATTGAAAAATGTTCAAGACTATGCAATTTTTTTAAGATGTGACAGAAGTTTCAGATTTTAAAAAAAGTGCTGCCTTGAAAGTGGAAGCACCTGTTAGATTTCACTGAAAGGAAATGACAGGTTATTCATATTGGTTCAATTTTACTTTTGAATTTTGTTGAATACTTATATTCAGTTTGTCATGTGATGAGTGTTGATTGCTAGCTTTCAGTTGCAGCAGGATACAGCAACTGAAGACACCTTACTATGTTCTGATTGTAATTCAGAAACATTGTTGCTGATCTTTCTAAGACTAAGTAACAGTACACAGAACCAGCATAAAAATGATCTTATCTATGTGGCTATGCCATTTTAAGTATGTTTTGATCATTGCTCAAAAACTTCAAACATTTTCTGTTTGTTTTTGACCGCACATGGGTCAAGTTCACTTTAACAATCTGTTCAATAATATTGTGCCAGGTTAATAAAATTTCATCATGCTCAACTGTTGAATTAATGACAGTATAAGCTATAAAATGCTTACAAATTTAATTTGGATACAGCTTCAGCGATTTTGTCGTATTGTACTATCGAGTGATGTTTGGTGAACGTGGATGTCTTGAATTGGATTTTCATTAAAGAGTACATGAGTAACTCCACAGGGCTTAATGGTGAGCCGGATATAAAATAATCTTCAAGACGTTCCGATGATGTTAGTTTCTCCGCTGCGCGTTTATTTTCTCGTCGAGTAGACATTATTCCACCAACTCGTACTTCGCT